CAGAATATAGATAGTAATTTAAAATGATTTTTTCGTCGATTTTGCATTTGGTTTTCTTGACATTCGGATTTTAATTTTCAGAAAGAATGTATTGTATCTCCCGAACGGAAGGATGTAGCGATGTCAAATTTTGTCCATGTACTATCTAGGATAGTTACATTAAATCTGTGAACAGAAAATTGTTCTATGATTATGGAAAAAAAATTCGGGGCTCAAAATCAAAATCTTCAATAAGACTACATCTTATTAATCTACATCGAATTTTGTAAACACAAAAATATAAACAAATTGTTTACAGCAAAAAAAAAAAAAAATAAAAATAAAAAACACCAAAACACCTTGACTTATGCTTTCAGAATAACAGTTTTTCATATTTTTTGTGTTCAGCATTTTTGAAACCCACTGTCCAGCTATTTGAGAATCAGTTTCTGCTTTGTTTTATGGAAAATGTATACACTTTGAAACTGTTCAACATAAAATAAATACATATTATATACATTATTTAAAAAAAGTCCCGATGGTGGGTTTTTTGAAGAGCTAATTGTTTGTTCGATTGCAAACATGAATTTAACATTAAAATCGAAATGAAAACAAAAACAAAATTTATTCGCAATGGTGTTCCTCAAATCAGGTTCTTATTTTTATGGTCTTATGTGCACAATCGCCGGCTAATTCAAAAATGCGGTTGCATTGAGATAAAGCTTTTAGAATTATCTTCTTAGAGAAAAAAATAATAATTCAAGAATACAAAATGAACACATCCATTGCTCTTTTGGTATTATTGGCAATTGTTTGCTCAACCTTCGGCCAACAGCATAAACATGTCCAAGTGGCGGAAACTTTATAAGGCGTCGATGGCAATCTAGTTTATTAAAAAAATAATATTTAAATAAAGACTTATTTAAAAACCAGTGAGCGGAGCAGTATAGTCGGACGGGGCCGACCATACGATACCCTACACAACTACCACGGAACTCAAATATTCTGCGGATGTTTATTCCGAGCCTGGGCAATATTTCATGATATTTGCACCCTCTTGCCCGATTAGAGGTAAACAGCACCTCTTCCTTACACTGACATATTTTCCGAATATTATGAGTATTCAGTACAGCTATTGTCCAGATTCCCTTCACCGTGGGTTGTGTTGTGATGTTCGGCTTTCATTTGTGGTCTATAAATCGACTCAAAAATAACAAAAAAAAAAAAAAAAATAAGTTTTCGGTCCACTTCATTCCAAAATTATTATCTGGTCATCACCGAAAATTATAGGCGTTGTTCTTGACCATAACTGGAACTTCATGGAACATTTCAAAGCGATCAGCGCTATAGTTCCGCTCTCTAGAGTGATAATGGGTTACTAACTAATATACGAATACGGAGATACCTGTAAATATTTAGGTGTAACTCCCACATCCGAGCACATACAACAATATAATTGGTATTAATTTAAAGGTCAACCACTCCTCTTGGATATAATATAAACTTCTCGGTCTATGTCCTTCAGGGGTAAATATATACGCTATAGAATACAAATTTTGTCATTTTTCACACAAAAGTCAGGGTCCATTTGACCCGCAAAATATTGACCGATCTTTATGCTTATTCTTTGGCCTGATCCCCTTCTTCATGGAAAATTTCACGATGTTCTGGCCATTATTGCGGCCTCTGGAGCAACCAGAAAAACGGACAAAAATTTAGTATTTGGTATTTCATCCCCTAAATATTAACCGATCTTTCCCAAAAACAATAGGGGTCTTCATTGGCCAGAACCCAACCTACATGCAAAATTTCGTGAAGATTGGTCCATAACTGTGGCCTGTATCGTGTTTACAAATTATAATGGACAGACGGACACACATGACTAGATCGACTCAGCTAGTCGAGATATGACGATCGGTATACTTAAAGGTGGGTCTAGGACCAATATTTTGCGGCGTTACAAACTTTTGGGGCTGCGCAAAGCTATAATACCCTGACAACATAGTTGTGTAGGGTATAAAAAAAACAGTGAGCGGAGCAGTATAGTGGGACGGGGCCAACCATATGATACCCTACACAACTACCACGAAAAGCACACTTTCGGCGGTTCTATATTCTGAGCCTTGGAAATATTTCGTGATATTTGCAACCTTTTTTACAGATTATAGATCAACAACTCCTATTTCTAAGTCTTGCATATTTTCCAAAATGTTTTTTTCTTGAAGAGAATTTTTACGCCATACAATAAAAAATTGGTCACTTTAGGTTTTGGTTGATTTGACCCTCGGAAAATTGACCGATCATCATCTAAACAGCCGCTCTAAGTATTTGGTCAGATCCCCTTCACCTTGTAAAATATATGATGTTCTGTATATAATAATTGCCTCTAAAGCGACTAGAAAATCTGACAAAATTAAAATTTTCGGTTCATTGCACCCCCTGAATGAAATCTCAACTTCACCGAAAACTATAAGCGTCGTCCTTGACCATAATCGGAACTTCATGAACAATTTCAAAGCGATCAGCGCGACATTTCCGTCCTCTAATGGAGTAATAGTAATAATATGCACATAGTCACCTTTACTTAATTACGTATAACTCCCGCATCGGAGTACATACAGCCATATAATTGGTATCAATTTGAAGGTCAACAACTCATCTTGGACATACTATCAACATCTCGAATATATGTCCTTCAGGAGCAAGTATATACGTCCCAGAATAAAAATTTTGTAATTTTTCTCACAAAAGTCAGGGTCCATTTGACCCGATAAATATTGACCGATCTTTATCAAAACATGCATGCCCGATCCCCTTTTCCATGGAAAAATTCGCGGTGTTTGGGCCATAATTGCGGCCTCTGGAGCGACCAGAAAAACCGATAAAAATAAAGTTTTTGGTCCATTTCACCTCCTAAATATTAACCGATCTTTTCCAAAAACAATAGGGGCCTTCATTGGCCAGAACCCATCCTACATGCAAAATTTCGTGAAAATTGGTCCATAACTGTGGCCTGTATCGTGTTTACAAATTATAATGGACAGACGGACAGACGGACGGACACACATGTCTAGATCGACTCAGCTAGTCGAGATATGACGATCGGTATACTTAAAGGTGCGTCTAGGACCAATATTTCGCGGCGTTACAAACTTTTGGGGCTGCACAAAGCTATAATACCCTGACAACATAGTTGTGTAGGGTATAAATATTTTCAAAATTGTCATTCATTCCTTTTTGTTTTCATACACTGAACGAAAAAATTAGGACATTTTTAGCAAAAATTAGTTCAGAAAAAGTCAAAATATGTGACCAATACAATGAGGATTGGCGAAACAGAAGCAAATCTATCTTTTTATAGGAAAATATATGATTAACAAGTATATTTGTATTGAATTCAAAATGTTCTTCTGTCTTAAAATTTGAAATGCAAGTTTATAAAATTTTTCTCACAGTTTAATAAGAGAGAAAAATAAATTTGAAATTTGTGCATTTGAAACAAATACAATAACAGACATATGCATGTATTAGTGTGGATAGACCTGGTTTACAACAATAATTGTTTGTATAGTTATACGTGTTGGTATGTTCCCCACATTTTCATTTCAAGTAACTATCAATATACATATGGTATCCAAAGTTCGGCCCGGCCAAACTTAACGCCTTTTTCACTTGTTACAAAACGCAAGATTCTAGGCTCAATATAATGCTTTAACTTAACACATGTGTCAAACGAGCAATCATGAAGAGTTTGGTTCACCATTTACCTAAAATAGGTCGAAAATATATATGGGAGCTATATTTAAATCTGAACTGATTTCAATAAAACTTGGTACATGTTAGCCGATTCTAAAAAAAATGTTGTGGCAATCGGCCTAACTTTATGAGTTTGGGTACCATTTACTTAAAATCGGACGAAACTATATATGAGAGCTATATATGTAAATCTGAACCGATTTCAATAAAACTTTCCACACGTTAGACTATACTAACTTCGGTACGTTGTGCAAAATGTTGTGCCAACTGGCCTAATTTGGGGTTTTTGGGGCATCATTTACTTAAAACGGCCTCACAGTGAAAAGAATCCACCGGTATTATTTACAACTTAATAACGATTAAAAGTCAAGAAATCTCAGGCATTTTGGTGGAATGGAGAACTGCGCGAGCTCAGAATGCTGACCTCTGGGTCTCAGCATTAAGTGTCAGGCAACTATCGGCTGTGTTGGTACCAGAACACTGTGACATCATGGGTAATGAAAAAGCAGACGAACTAGGTAGACGAGGACCTCAATCCACAGATTTAGCAATCGATGACTCAATCAAACCAACCATCTGTCACCATCTGGGGAACATTCATACATCTTACGCGGAAACCTTTGTAAAATTTATGCCGGCAAGGCTGAAAGCAGTAAAGTAAATAACAATGGATATCATACTAAGTATTAGCTATGTACAAAAATCAATTTTATATCAATTTAAAAAATGGCTATGTGTCTGGCTTGCTCCCTCGTGATTTGTTACATTGCCGTTGCTCAAATTAATAAACCATATAAATACTGACCTTTGAGGTGTGCGAACATTTTTTAACCAATGATGGATTTAGATTAACAAAGTGACTGATATTTAACCCTGATGATAATCTATAATAAAAGTATGCATCAATATAATTAACGAGACATTAATTAATCTTTGGGAATGCCTGTAGCAACGACACAAAAGAATTTCAAAAATTAAAGGATATTAACCCCAATGAAATTTTTATGAATTATATCTGACGTGTCTGGGCTTGTGTCTAATCATACTCCTGTTAATATCGTCCAATTCACATTGCAATTACAATTTTGCTAAAATTGTATTAAATAAAATAAAATACAATGTACTCAGAAATTACTCCGTTTGTCTGGTAATACCGGATTAAGCAATATGGATAAGTATAAAAACGATCTGTTGACAGAAGTCACATCGTTAGTACTATCACATTGGTGTAACACATTGTAGCTAAGCAACTGTCGGAATACAAAATGAAATTCACCATCGTTCTATTGGTTTTGTCCGTTGCCGTTGTCGCTGTTTATTGTCAACCCATCGAAAATGTCCAAGCCGAGTCCTTGGCTAGTGCAGATGCCGATTTGGCTGTAGACCCGGATACAGGAGCGGTGCGTAAAGCTCGTTATTATGGTGGTTACTATCCTTATGGTGGATATGGATATGGATATCCATCATACGGTGGATATGGTGGTGGATATTATCCACAATATGGCGGCTATGGTTATCCAGGAGGAATTGGTTATAGTGGCAGTTCCTCAATTGCCATAGCGGGTTCTTTCTCTGGAGGTGGTTTTTATGGATAAATGTTTTAAGGAATGAGTTGAAAATAAAATATGAACGAATATTAAAGCATATACATTTAGTTTCATTTATTATACGAACAGGGGAAAGATCTGTTTGGGGATAGTGTAGATTTTACGTCTTCCCAATCGTACTAATTTACTAATAGTTCCGTATATTTTATAACTCTTTAAAATGACTTCTTGAATACAACCTGACATCCTGAGGTTCTCTATGGGTATTATGGTGCATAGGAGTAATCGAACATAAATGTACAATGGAAGTTGGGCGTCGTTCATGAAACTGGAGTATCGCGAAGCAATTTAAAACTTTGAAAACATGCTTCAGAATTAAATAAGGTACTCAGATAGAGTGGCAGAGTAAGATCTCAAAACCGGCATGAAGCATCCGATTCTGTAGACCTAGGGAATCCTGAACAGGATAGCATACATAGCACATTAGATATCCGACTTGAATCATCTATCTCTATAGCTCACTTACTTTGGGAAAATATTTTGTAGTGTTTAAATCAAATCAAGAATGAATTTTACAATGTTTAAGTGTTATATTTTTTAAAATAAAAATACATGGAATATTGTGTATTTGTCTATTTAAATTTACGAAGATACAATCGTCTTACACAATATTTCTAAGTTTTAAAAATGTTTACTCTTTATGGAGGAAGAAACAAGATAAGTGGACTGATAAACTTGATCTAGGGGGTTAAAGAACTTCCATTTGGTTCGAATCGAATACTCGATGTATGTATTAATGTTTTATTAAAGCTTTCAAACTAATTAGACTAAAATATAAATATAACGTGGCTCAAGACTAGATTCACACGTTTATAACTAGTGAATTGTGACGAAAAGGGGTACAAACTTTCTTATGTTTTTTCTGCATTGATAACCTTTTTATTAAAATAAATGGGCGATTTTTTATGATTTTATCAGAATCGAAGCGGTGTGATCCTGCTGTGCTTGAGTGATTCCGTTCTTGTAGAGAACCCCTCATATGATATTAGTTATGATTATTATTTTTACTTCGCCTAAAGGTATGCTTTATAATTTTACATATCAAACATAATTCATACCAAAATCAAATGTATTCGTTTGAAATAAAAAACCAATAAGGAAACAAGAAAAGTCGGACGGGCCGACTATTGATATCCAACACCACTTTAGTTCTATACAAGAGATGATCCTAGACTGTATTTAATAAATGTATGCATGAATTTCAAGAACTAATTACATTACAAAAACAACATTATTCTTATAGAAAAGAAATTGTCAATGCCTGAAATTGTATATAAGGGTTGGCCCTTTATCTCGAAATAAAATCCAATATACGTTATTCTAGTTTCCATTTGATACATTGTGCTCTATTTTCTACTAATCGGACAAACTTTAGTTATTTGCTACACCATCAAACTTAACAAAAAGCATTATAGACTAACTTCCATACCCACTGCTAAATTTCGTGAATATAGAACAAATATAGCCTTAGTGCTCCATTTACATAAAATCGGACGAAACTATGTATGGGAGCCATATCTGAATCTGAACCGATTTCAACAGAACTTCACAGACACTGGACTAAATTTAGTACTCTCTTGTTTTTGTTGTTGTAGCAGCCCTATTGCTTTTGCACTATGGGCTGAGACGTTGGCCGATTATGGAAATGTACATTTACATAAAATCGGACGAAACTATATATGGGAGATTCAATAGGCCAAATACGTGAGCTGTGCCAAATTTAAAATCGGATCATAAATGCGACCTGTACTTTGCTCAGAAAAATACATGGATGGACGGACATACATAAATCGACTCAGAAAGTAATTCTATGCATTTTCTCAAAAGAAACCATGTGTTTAACTTGTTTCCATTTGCTTGTTACAAACATAAGACAATGACACAAATACAGTACCCTGTACCGCAGTGTGGTGAAGGGTATAAACATTGAGATTCTGTCACAGTTTACAGTATCGACCAAATATGATATATATGAAAACCAGTAAGGAAAGTAGTAAAGTCCGACTTTACTACGGACTATATGATACCCTTCAACACTCTGTCTGTATCCTAACAGACGTCGCCTTTACAAAGGAATATTGACATGAAATTGAACGAACTTAAATATGCAAACTTTATCTATAAGTAAACCGATTAACATCAATTCCAATACATGCCATTCTGCAACCTATGCTAAATTTTGTAAATCGATTTAAGGGGACCCCCCCATTCTCGGGGTCAAAATTTTTTTGATTTAATTCGATTCTAAACTAATTCAAGAATGTCCCTACAAAATTTCAAGTGAAAATCTCAAGAACTCTTGAAAATATTGCCGATTCATTGTGTCAGCATCAGGTGACAGCTAAAGGGCTTCTCAAACTTTAAACGCGTTTTTCTCTTTTGCGAATGGCGGTCACGATAACTCAAAAACTAATAACCCACTCGAATCCAAATTTTTACATGCTTCTCTGTGAGTGTATAGCTATCGTATGAACTAGGATAAAGCCAATCGGTGAAGATCTTCCTTATTTTTTAACTTGGTTTTTGGCCAAAAATCGGCGATTTTCCAAAAATATTTTTTCAAAGGTCCGCCATTTTGTTAATTTTAGAGCGAAGTCAATAATCCTAGTTCACACGAGAGCCAGACATGTACTTTTTCAACACCGTTGGAATTTTCGGATTCCGATGTTCCAGTGAGGAGTTATCATGCCCGCCATCAAAAATAAGGACTTTTCTTTAATTACAAAAAACAACAACAACATTTTTTTTGTAAATTATTTTTCTTCTCTTTTAAATCTTCAAATATATATGTGCAAAGTTACAAACCTTAACAAGCATTGGTATTGATTTATCAGCCCAGTGAAAATCTTGAAAAATTAAAATCGTGAATGAGGGTTCCCTTAAAGCAAACTTTACAAACGCTATTTGGTATGCTTCACTGTTTAAAATGTATCAATCAGGCAACCATTGATTATTTGGTGTACAATCAACAAGAATAGGTCGAAATTATATATGGAAGCTATGCTATATCTAAATCTGAACCGATTTCAAGGAAACTTGCTAGATATTAATTAATTTCAGTACGATTTGTTAATCGGCCTAGGTATAAGTCTTTAGTGCACTATTGACTTAAAATCGGGCGAAAGTATATATAGAAGATATATGTAAACCTGAACCAATTTCAAGAAAACTTGACACACGAACAAAATTGTGTGCCGGTCCGCCTATCTTTTGGTTATTAGTGCACAATTTATATTAAATCGGTCGAAAATATATATTGGAGCTATATCTAAATTGGAACCGATTTTTACGAAACTTAGCACATATCATTCTGGAGCTAATTCAGTACCCTATGCCAAATTTCGTGCAAATCGAAAGGTACATAAGGACTTTTGAGTCCCATTACCTTAGATCGGTCGGAAATATATATGTGAGCTATATATAAATCTGACCCGATTTTCTCGAAACTTGGCACACGTCATTCTGGGCATAATTAAGTACTCTATGCCAAATTTCGTGCAAATCGAAAGATAGATAGGAGTTTTGGTGCCCTGTTTACCTTAAATCGGACGAAAATATATATGGGAGCTATATATAAATCTAAACCGATTTCTCAAAACATGGCATACGTCATTCTAGACTCAATCCAGTACACCATGCAACATTTCGTGCAAATCGAAAGATAGATAGGAGTTTTGGTGCACAATTTGGACTTTGGTGCCCCGCTTGCCTTAAATCGGACAAAAATATATATGGGAGCAATATCTAAATCTGAACCGATTTTCTCTAAACTTGGCACACATCATTCTGGACCTAATTCAATACCCTATGCCAAAATTTTCGAACAAATTTTTCTTCTGGACCTTGCTTCATGTTTTATGAGATTTATAGAATAAGCCTGTATCAATACGTTTGGATATTTTAATCAAACATATCCACCACAGTGGCTGTAGTTTGGCATACCGTGTTTTTGGATTGTGAATAATATTTTATATATAGGTCCATGTTTTGGCATAGCCTCCGTTAATTGTTGAAATTTGGCATTAAGGATGATGAGAAATATTTGCGCATGACTATTTCGATATAGATTTTTTAATATTACCCCCACCATTGACTATTTAATGGCAATGAGTTCGAGTAAAATGTTACAAAAGTTGTAAAAGTAATATATTCATACACTCACTTGTGTGATATTGTGGGTTTTTGCCATCCATATTTGTGGAAGAACAGAAAATGTATCTTGGACTATAATATACAGCCCGAGAATACATACTGTTTTTTTGCGAGAATCTTCGGACAAGTTGTTGGTAATTTTCTAAATCATCAAATGATCTAGATATTGTATTACTACTTATGGTGTTTTTACACGATATGTATTTTACATATGTGCTGTCACTTATTTCATCCATATGTAACTCCTTATGTGTGTCAAAATTAGCAGCGTACATACAACTTTTATTTTTTGTGTTCAAATCGGCGTATGTATTTTACATATGACATAACATGTCATATTCGGACAAAATACATATCGTTTTGACACATTGAAATTTCCGTATGTTTCACATGACGAGTTCGAGTTGCATATGGGCACTTCCGCAAAAAGGTAAACCAAAGTCGAAGAATTTGTTTCTTTAATTGTGCTTAAATACGTAAAGGCAAAAAATACAAAGAAAGACCAAATTTGTCATTTTTTTCTTCTTTTTCTTACCATAAATACTATTTTAATGACTATAAATGCAGACACTGCAGAAATAAAAACTGCAAAATCAACAATGTCGCGTGAGTTAGGTCGCGTGAGTGACCGAGAAAAATCCTTCGCAAATAAAGGATATGTCATATTTTGAAATTTTGGAAGTGCAATAATAATGCTTGGTGTCTCTTATTCATGTAAAGAATATTAAAAGTTTAAAATATTCACACAATTCGCAGAGTTTTCCCATTATTAGAAGTGATGTCTAAAGTCATGTATATTTGAAGTCGCGTGAGTGACCGCTGTTTTGTGGCTTTTATCTTCAAAGTTAAAAACTAGAGGCTCTCAATTTTTTTTACCACTGATAGTACTCCTAATGTTCTACAAAAAAGTATTAAGGGAGAATTGTAAATTATGCAAATTAATCTCCTGTAAATAAAAAGTATTCTAAGGTCAATGTATTATAAAATATATCCTCACAAATTGACCTAATTATTGTAAAAGCCTTGAGTAACGTCCAGAATTCGTTAATGTGTGTTTAATATAATTAAATAGGCGTAAATAAGAAAACAAAAAAATATAAAGTGCTAACAAAAAGTATCAAATTCTGTCCAAAGAATCAAAACAACAGAAGACAAAAAATGAGTTTTTTTTATAGGGACGGGTCATCACTCATTAACATTTTTGCGTATTTTTTGGAACATTATTATTGAAAACCGGCTACCTGTATGAACGAAAATATGAAAGAATTAAATGTTTATTTGATAATTGATATGATTGAATATTTTAACACTTTTGTTTTGGAAATTTTTGTGAATAAATTACAGTTTATAGAAATGCTGTGACGCTTCACAACGATTATTACACATTGGCAATTAAGATCAATTTCAGTGTCGATAGAGTTGGAAATATTTAATTATTTGATTTTTGGGAACTGCAAAAAATTCGACAAAATTGTATATGAATTTTGTAGAACTAATTTCTAAAATTTTCAAACAATCAGGTTTTCAACTGATATTAAAATTGGCACAGTAAATATAAAATACGAAATGTAGTCAGCGTTTTATTGATCTCTCGTATACACCCTCATGCTATTTTTGGAAAGAAATAAAAAATAAACTTTTTTAAGAACTTATTTTTCAAAATAACGATTTTTATACATATTTATTGGAGATAAAAGCGGCGGGTTTTTAAAGGAGGAGGGGGAATATCGGTTTACGTTTTGGTATAGTTCCCGTATAAAGATTCAGATACATTTTCTGTTTGACATAGAACATATATACGGAAAATGAACAATATAAGACCATGTTTTGGCATAGCCCCCATTTAAGGGTATCGACCCATTGTCAGAATTTTGAATGCTTTATCCGCATTGTAGTGGGTGTAATTTGACATTTCGGGATACTGGATGGAACAACAAATTATTGCGAAAAGTTATAGTTCTAAGTTTTAATATAGCTCACAATTTTCTCATCGAAGTAGTTGTAATTTGAAATATTGGATTTCAGACGAATAAAAAATTTCTTTCAAGAAATTATTAAATACAGGGTTATGTTTTAAAATAGTTCCCATCCAAATATCCACTACAATTTTTGGTATGTTGAAGTTCGACACGGCCTAACTTACATTTTAGCTGATTTGGTCATTCCTATAGTTAGAACAGACATAGCATCTTTGGAGAACCATTGAAATGGAATAGAACGAAACTAGATGCGCGATCTACATAGATATTTCAACCAATTCAAATCAACCGATACAAATACCATTCTGAAATCTATGTAAAATTGCATTTCATGTGTCCTTCCGTGTACCATTCGTATAAAATTTCCCAAATTTCACTTCGGGCCATAGAAGTGAGCTTTGCCAATTTTCATCTCATTCGGATCATAATTGCGACCTATACAATTTATCATGGACAGACGGACATACATGTCTATCTCGTTTCCTTTTGCCTATTACAAACATATGTACAAGGACATATTACCCTGTAGGGTGTGTGAAGGGTATAAAAATGTTCAATCTAAGTCCAATAAAATTAATTGCACCAAATTTCAGCGAATTCGTTTGAAAAGCACTCTGAAGAACCCCAAAATACCGAAAATTGGGGTTACCGTTATAAGGGGGGCTATTTATAATTTTTAGTGGAGAAACTTATTACCCAATATGAACCCATTTTACCAAATGTAACATTTTGGCGATCTACCTCAATTCGTTTAGATGATAGCTTGATTACAACAGACAGACGGACATGCTAAATAGGATTTTATGCTGATCAAGAATATATAATGTGGACTATGCGTCTAATTCGGACCACCCCCATATCTAAGAAAATGCCTGAAATATGTGTACCAATGCTGCCTTGATAAATGTTTTTCTAATTAGTGAAAACAAACAATAATCTTGGTTTTGAATAAATACTTGCAAAGTTGAAAATTTACTTAAGCTCTGATTGTAAAAGTGTGATTTGAACATTTTTAGCACAATATTCGAACGTTTTTTGCAAAATAGTCGAACACTTTGTTTTTCTCAAATATGTTTTTGTTGTTGTGAAAACAATTTGTTTCTATTTTTTACAGTTGTTACGCCCACAATATCACCACATTACCCGAAGTTACTCTATATATATATATATATATATATTAGAGACGGAAAAACAAACTTAATATATCCTCCATGCTATGGTGGAGGGTATAAAAAGGTACACATGTACCCGGTTATTGATCGTAGGACTATGACCAATCGTAATATTCAATTTAAGACATTGACAATTTATTTTCTATAACAATAATGTTGTTTTTGTAATATAATTAGTTGTTGTAATTCATGCACACACCTTATACACCTTGATTAATATCTAAAATCGGCAAAGCTATTTTATGAAAATTTTCCCATTAATTTAAATTCTCAAAATATTTATTTTATTTAAATTCGTTTAGTTAGCACCACATATAAATAATATTTGCCACTATTTGGAAACTTTATCCAAAATATAGGCATTTTTATAAAATTCTCTAACAATTCCATTATTGGATCGAAACAAATACCCGTTCATCGAATGACTAGTAAGACATTCAAAACAATATTGTTTGAATACTACCCACTCACTTACTCCTAACTAGATAACGCGGAAGTAAACAAAATTCTTCGCACGCCCCAGAGAGCATCATCATCAGCAGCACATGGCGTCGACATAAGTCACGACATTTTTGCCAAAAAGAGAAAATGAAAACAAAAGTAAATGAAAACAAATAGTCAAATTTCAATGTCAGTATGTCAGTCAAGATATGTATGAATATAAACCAAATAGACTACGATTTTTGTTTTGCAAAATTGCTAAATGATGGTGAAGAGAGAAAGAAAACAATAAACGAAACTAAAACTAAAAAGAAACAAAAGGTGTGGTTGACCGGCCAGCAGTTATCAGCACGCCAGATGGGTGACCGGCAAATAGCAGAAACAAGTTAGTGACGACGACGTTTGTGGCTTCTGCCGAACGAACGAACGCTTCAATTGCTGTTAACAATCGCAAAAGGCAGATACTATCCCGCGAAAAATAATCAACATTTGAATTTCCGTTTATTTGTTTGTGAACCAGAAGTTGACGAAGTGAGTCAAACACCTTGAAGGTCTTCTACGATGGCGTTTTTGGAAATTTTCAAGAACAAATGTTACCAAGTTCTAGAGCTCATTATTACCAAATTCATGCAAACTATTAATCTTTTTTTGCGAAATTTTGAATAGAACTCGAATGGAAGTTTTGCCAAATGTAGTTTGCTGCTGCCAGTTGATAGACGTGCCCCAGATTTCGCCGGCAGTTTGAAGTGACGAAACCGAAAAACAACACGACTTAAACAAATAAATCAATTTTTATCAATGAAAATGAAAACGTTTTTGGTGTTTTACTATTTTATTGTGGCAGTGATTTTAGTATCGGCCCAAAATCGCAACAGATCAGTAAGACGAAGATCTCAAAATGCTAGCCAAGAACCGGAAGGACAAGGAAGGACATTGGGTATCTTAAGGCCCCTATTGGGGTTGGGCACTTTAGGTGGTGTGCGTATTGGTTATGACCAGCCTGTTGTTCCTTATAGACCCGTTCGCAGACCACAATCATCGGTAAGACCACAATCAGATTATTATGGCGGAGGTTATGGTGGCGGCTATGGTAGTTATCCATACTACGGCTACGGTGGTTATGGTTATAGACCTGGTTATGGTGGATTCATACCTCAGTATGCTGGATATCCCTCATATGGTTATGGTGGTTACAGACCTACTGCATATCCTGCTGCTGTTGGCAATTATGGAGGTAATTATCCCGCGTATAACTCGCAACGTCCCAACTATGGAGGTGCTGCAGGAATATCACCTTCTCGTCCAGTTCCACCTGTGCCCAGTAATGTTGGTTCGACAACAGGATCTTCCCCGACACCCTCACTTGCAGGACTGGATCCTGCTCAAGCAGCACAAATAGCCAATTTATTGGGACAACTTTTGGGTTCTCAACTAAGGCCACTGCTCGGCGCTGCTGGCGCAAATATACGAGGTGATGCTCCAGATACTTTAGTATAAAAACATCTACGACAAATACTCGATTTAAATTATTAAATTAGAAATAGTATTATTGTTTAAATATATGCTAAGTTAATTATCCAAATAAAATCATTCTTGCCAATAAAGTATTGATGCAAATATTACATTTAACACAAAACGAGTTACAAATGTTTCTTTTCCAATGATCCACGGTCAATAAATATCAACAACTAGGAATAGAAACATGTTATATTATCAAATTAGAAATTACATTATTGGCGAAGGTGCTAGTAGTCAGTGTTGCTGACATATATTAATCGTTTATTTTGAAAATGGCTTAAGGGGAACCCCCCATTCTCGCGGTCAAAAATTTTGTTGTTACAATTCGAATCTACACTAATTAAAGAATGTCCCTACAAAATTTCAAATGAAAACCTCAAGAAGTCTTGAAGATATAGCCGATTTATTCTGTCAGCATCAAGTGACGGCTGAAGGACTTCTCAAACTTTAAACGCGTTTTTCTCTAAACATTTTTTTTGCGAATGGCGGGCACGATAACTCAACTTCAAATTTTTAGACGTTTCTCTGTGAGTGTGTAGCTGTCGTATGAACTAGGATAAAGCCAATCGGTGAATATCTTTCTTTTTTCTTATATTGAGATATTTATAGGTTTGGCTTTGATTTGTTTAAAGAATGTGGTATTAGTTTTGTTTGTTTGTGGAATTTATAACGTAATATATTTTGTAAACTTCTCTTTAAAAACGAGATTTGTCTCCGAACCCAAAATGGACTTATTTACCCTTTGTTGGTCTGGTACCAGAAGGAGTGGCCATGATAAAAAATAAAAAATATGTCGTGAAAGTTTTGAATCAAATCGGATACTTTTTGGTTTTTGCAAAATTGTCAGGCTGAATCCCAGTTTGTTTTTAACTATTAATTAGTGGGGAAAGTATGGCATTGCCCACCAGGGGTAAGGCAGGGAAGACTATAGTTTCGGATCTCGCTGCTTAGTTTTTTGTTGGGGGTGTTCTTCCTAGAAGCTATTAATAACTTCTTTACAAAGCGAAGTACTTAGCTAACCAACGAAATAAACTGCATGAGAATTTTGCTGGTGCCTCACTTCGAGATTAACAAGGTATTTGTAAACAAGACCATAATTTTTGTGTGTCGTCACGTCGCGACGACTGCTCCCACTTTTGCTTTAAACGGATTTGATGCAAAGACTATTGGTATTTAAAACCTTTTTTGATCTTAAGACTGAGGGTACTTCATATTGAGTTGTTAGGGATGATTTATAGCATTAAATTGGAAATATGCGGTTTTCTACTAAATGTGTTTTCTCTTACTATTGAAATAATTTCGTTGGAACATTTTATAGCATCTTTTACGAGAGATACTATATTGCCTTGCCATGTGCCAGAGAACATTGATGCTATGCGTGATCTTATAATTGAAGATCTACATGTGACATACAATGAGATACTTCAATCCTTGGCCATTTGATATTTCACTAACACCTGGTCGAAAAAAGCAAATAAATTGAAATGTGATGTGATGTTTCGTAGATCTATGTATATGAGGTCGAAATAATACAGCAATTGACCAAATTTTTCACCTGATTTGAATTTTATTTTGTATTTTGGTTTGGCATTTTAAAATCACATAACAGTCCAGATCGGTTTAGTCATTTCGAATATCCTCATAAGGGTATTTAAGGTTCATATCCTCCAAACTTTACGATGAGTTTATTTTATCTATTATCTTTTAGTTCGATATTTCGAAAACACATCACTATTTTTTCGAAATTATGTAAGGATTTCCAAGATGTAGAGGAACTTCGGGTAATGTGGACTGCCATTTTATTTTTTTTATATTGTTGGCGTAATAAAGGTAATAACTAAGAAGTTAGAATAATAACTTTATGGGGTATAAACTGACAATTTGCAACCATAAAACGCACAACAAATCCGTTCACCATTTTAATATAAACAAATGAAAAAAAAACCATAATGCATACCAAATACAAATTTCAGCAATTTTTAATAGACATTTTTCAAAAAAAAACCCAAAAAATGGATCGATATTAACGACGCGTGGCAGAATTGAACATGTGTATATGAGGTCATAACCAATGTACATAGGTTTTATTTCGGTGGGTTTGGTGAAAGCTGTTGGCTATGCCTAATTGAGGAATGATATGGGTAAATTTCGAAACTAAAATGTTTGCATTACAATACCTTTCTTAACGCTAAATGTCCAAAATACTGAAAATCGATAGGCATCATTACAGGGGAGCTATGCCTAAATGCGGGCCGATATAGTTCATTTTCGAAGCTTACGTTCTATATTTTTATGTCGATATCCTCCGAAGGTAGAACGATTACAAAAGAAAAATTTTTATAAATTCATACTTTCGAGAACAGAATATTCCCCCTACTATGGTAGAATACAACTATATGGGGATAAACCAAAAAACGCGGAACAAATCAGATAATTATTTTAATATAAAAAGGGGCGAATATTAATAACTTTAGGAGGGAGATTTGTTACCATATTCGACTGCAAAATACCAAATTACAGCGAATTCGGTTAAAACGCTTTCAAGAACCCCAAAATACCAAAAATATTTTTTACTTTTAGTGCAGAAATTTGCTACCCAATAAGAACTCAAAGTACTAAATTACAGCCAATACACTCAAAATACCGAAACTATATTTATAATTTTTAGTGGAAAAATTTGGTACCCATAAGAACTCCAAATTTCAGCGAATTCGGTTGCAAAAGAGCTTAAAACCCCAAAATACCGAAAAAAGGGGGGTATCCTTATATAGGGGCTATGCCTAAACGTGAACCGATATAGCCCATCATCGAACTGGAACTGCCTGCAGACAACATTTATTTGTTAATAATCAGTAAGGAAAGATCAAAAGTCCGACGGGGCCGACTATATGATACCCTTCACCACTTTAGGTACATATAAGAGATGCTAATATATACAATATCCTGAAGATATACAAATGTGTTATCTAAATAGATATTTGAACCAATTAAAAAAGCCATGCACATACCATTCTGAAATCAATGGAACAATTTAATGTCAAACGGCAGACTTGGATTCTTTGGTGTTTTTTATGAAATCGAGCAAAATTATGTATGGGAGCTATAAGTAAATATGAAACTAACTGAGCAACCGTTGCATACACCATTTGGTTTTTGCAGCTTTAACACACATCACTCAAAACTTAATTTAATTCAATTTGAAAATTTGATAGGAAATCGTCCTTGGACCAAATAAGTGACCTTTTTTCCATTTCGGATAATAAATGCGACCTGTACTTTGTTTACAATTTAACATGAACAGACGGCCAGGCGGATTAACGGACATGCATCAATCGACTCAGAATCGCTTCTATGTATATTCTCAAAAAGGAACCATGTGTCTATCTCGCTTAGTTTTGCCACATTAGACGCATAGTCCACATAAACCGAAATTCTTCTACGCTGGTGATGGATAATGTTTTGGAGGTTGAAATTGATCAATGCGAAAATTATTACTTATATTTCAAATCGTAGTATGTTGTATGTAATATAATTTAGGTTCAAGGAATATATATCACGATCAGTCAATAGTAAGCCAAAACTAGCCATTTTTGTAAGAATGTGTGCTACACAAAGCAAACCCAAAATACCAAATTAAAGCCAATTTGGTTGAAGGTGAGACTAATATCTTCCAATACATGCTATGTTATCAAAAGTAAAATTTATTTTTTAACGACTATTTTTATATTATCTGTAATAATTCTTAAGTTAATGAACGGTCGCAGACTTTCGCAAAATTCTGGACAGAAAACATATCAAAGCGTCGATGGTTGCCTTAAAATGTCCTCCTGCACTGCTTAGCACTATGTTTTGAAACTCATTTTTTTCGAAATAACCATATTTATGTGTTAAATATTGAATTTTTGATGATTACCTTCAAATTACTAATAATTTTTACCTTCATATAATCACCATTTCCATCTGTTTGCTTGACCGTCATTTCATGTTAATATTTTGATAAATTATATTCACAAATGATCACTGCCCTTACAAGGCAAAAATTAAAATAACAACAATTCACAAAAATATGATATTTTAACTTTGACCTCATGTTATTTGTAAGACCGCTTTTTTCTCACCATGTGAAATGGACTTATTGCAAAAAAAATAGGTTCTTGGCCCATTACAAGAAGAATAGAGAACTGAAAAAGAATGTGAAGAAAATCATTAAAATTATTAAATACTAGCGGGCCCGGCAAACGTTGTCATGCCTAGCAATATTGTTTATGTCTAATTTTCGGAATTTTAGGTTGTTTTTACACCGTCCAACATACATTTCTACTTCTTATAAGATACAGTGGTGGTCACAGAATTAAAACATTTACTGTGGTAAACATTTTTTGATCCTCCCTCGATTCGTTTGAAGTATTTTTGAAAATTTTTTAATTCAGAACACTTCGATATACTGCACTTAAGAAATTTAGTGTGAAAATAGAAACTTTTTGCATGCAATTTTTCCATAAATAACGGTTTTTATGAGAATACATCCACTTCGATATTCGGCATTTTGGTGTTTCAACCATAGTGGTTGTAATGTTTTATTTTGGATGATCAAAACCTCTATACCAAAAATTAGCAATATTGGTAAAATTTTCCGTGTAGCCCCATATAATGGTATGCCCCATTGTTTGGTATATTCTCATGTGGTGTTAAATCTTCCTTCCAAAAATTAATATATACCCATTCCCATTGTAGTAGCTATAATATACCATAACGGGATATTGAAGGGTAACACACGTTTATGAGGGAACATTTCTATTTTGGCCCAAGCTCCTACATACAGGTCCCACTCCATTTTCGGAATTGTGAAGACTTTGACCGAATTTTCTCATAGAGTATGCCATACATATTTCCCGTTTAATTTTCGGTACGTTGAAGTTCTTTTCCCCTTTTCCAACCTAAGTGTCTATAATTTTGAACATTATTGTTAAAGATCATGG